GTACGTACATACGTACGTACGTAGGTATGTATGTCTGTCTGTATGTATGTATGTATGTATGTATGTATGTTTGGTATGTATGGTATGTATGGTATGTATTGTGTGTACTGTATGTATTGTAGTGTAATGTAGTGCAATGTAATGTATGTAACGTAAGTATGTATAGTAGTGATATATAATGTAATGTAGTGTAGTGGTATGTAATGCAATCTCTTGTATGTATGTATGTATGTATGTATGTATGCATGCATGTATGTATGTATGTATGTATGTATATATATGCATGTATGTCTGTATGTATGTATGTATGTATGTATGTATGTATGTATGTACGAATGTACGTATGTACGTATGTACGTATGTATGTTAACAGTATGTCCAAAATAGAGTTGTGTGTGTGATACAAGTATAAAAGTATGTAACTCTGGTGTTGTCCATCTATCTGTGTGTCCACCTATCTATCTGGCAAGCCAGCCAGCCAGGCAGCAGGACTGCATGCTGGCTAGCAGCGAGCAGCTAGCCAGCTATCTATCCATCCTTCTATCTTTCTGTCTCGTTTACGTCCATACTGCTAATGACACTGTGGATGACAGGAATGAACACTTGATCTTTGTACTGTGTGTTTATAGAAGCACATATACACATATATGTATGTGTATATGTACATGCATATGTGCATGTGTATGCATGGTGCATGCGTGCATGTATGCGTGCGTGCACGGATGCATGGACGGATGATGTAACCAATAAATGGGTGCATGGATGAAGAGAATGGACGGATGGATGGATACATGAATGGATGCAAGACGTGACATGTACATGCGTGTCTATGCACATGCACATGTATGTGTGTATATATATATATGTATATTTACACGTATACACTGCATACACCTAGAGAGATACTGTGGATAGATCGATAGATAGATAGAAAGATAGATCGACAGACAGGTAGATAGGTGTACATATACATATACACATACATATAGACATATAACATATACACTATTCATACAGTATACATATACATACATATCTATACGTACATGTATACATATGTACGTACATATACTTATTCATGCATGGATGTATGTATGTATGTATGTATGTATGTATGTATGTATGTATGTAGGGGAATGTATGCGCTCATATAGCTTTCTTGTATGTGTGTGTATACATGTCTGCACTTTTGGATACATCGGGACCAACAACGGCGAGGCCTCCTTGCAGGAGCTGCTGGAGCTCTACAAGGCCCCACGCACTCTCTCACTCGGCTTTTACGTGGGTGGGGGGTCGGAAGCTTGCAGTTCAGGACCTGGTGTTAAGGGTTTGGGGTGTTGCGGATTCGGATGTCACAGGGTTCGCAAGGGTAAAGGAGCTGTTCGGGGTTCAAAGCTGTGGCCACGTAGAGCCCTGTGCCTCGCACCAAACCGCGAACCCCGACAAAGAGCTTCAACCCATATCAAGTCCATGAATCCAATGAAGTGTTAGAGTATCCCTACACCCTACTCAGCCCTTCTCTCTTTGCACCGTAGTAGACCCCAAAACCTACAAACGCCTGGAGGCTCCACCAGAAGGAGTTCGGCCCTCGGCGCGCGAGCGGAACCTGGAGGCAGAGGTCAAGAGTCGCATCCACGAGCGCCGCGAGGAGCTTTCCGGCTTGCTTTTTTTTGGGGGGGGGGGAGGGGTAAGAAGCCTGAAAACGAAGGGTTTGCGAACTTGTTTAAGGGTGTCTCAGGTATACTGTTTCTGATTCGGGCGGTCTTTGCGTCTACGACATGAGGATCTACTAGAGTTTTTCTGCGTGCGCTCCTGATGCTGTTTCGCAACATGCATGTTTAGTGATTCTGTTTTCTATAGGGCCGCCAATCTAATTACATGTACCTCCCAACTCAATGCGTCATAGCGCCCTGCAAACCCTCAGGCACAACGTCCTGACAACAAACTACAGGAGAATGCATCCCGCCATGAACCTTCCAACAGTCTAAATCCCTACACCCTAAAGCCTAAAGCCCATAGAAGCTCCAAACACGAGTATTCGTCCTGAAATGTAAGGCACTTTCTTGTCTTTTAAGCATGAGGGTGAGCCAGGAGTCCGGGCTTCATCTGCCCCTGGTGCTCCACGAGGGCCTCAGCGCTGCCGCCCGAAGCCTGGCACAGTCGCAGCGCGTGCGGGAGCGGGAGGCTGGGTTTAGGGCCGAGATGTAGGTGCAGTGTAGCATAGGTTATCTGCGATTTTGGGGCATAGGGGACAGCAGCAGTTTGCAAAGACGTATACTTACACTGGCTTGGGCTGCTTCTCATGAGCCGAATTAGCCCATGGAGCACTTTCGATCCTCAAACTGAACATGAACTCTTTGCGTCCATATAGGACCCCAAAGCCTGAATCCTAAGCCCCTTTCAGCCCTCAAAAGCCTCATTAAGCATATCCCCCGTATATCCTTCACCGTAGAACGCTGAACATCCGAACTCTCCTCGCCAGGGCAAACTGAAGCCAGATCGCCTCCGCTTGCGCACCAGTGAGGTGTCTCGCCAGCATTGCGGGACTTGTCTTGCCGTTTACGAATTAGGTCACTGGGATATTCAATGTTACCGGTTACGATTTTGAAACTGGCCTCTATAAGAGTCCTACTTGATCAAAACATTTTCATATGCTGTAAAGGACCCACCAGGGCCCAGATACCTGGACCCGATGATTTGGTGTCGGGATCGGGGCAATATCTTGTAAGTTAGCTCGCGGGTGAGTGCATCATGACAAATTTTGAGCCTACTGAAACTTAAGCCCTGCACCCTGCAGCCATACAACCCTAAACCTCAAAACGATAAGAGTTGAGGTTTGTGGTTACTTTGGCGTTGTGGAGTAACTCGGACATTTGTGGCTTGTACGCAATCCTGCCTGAACGCCGACACTCTAGCGCTAGCCCCGGAGCACAACTTTGGCTTCTACGGGTGGTTCTGCCACGTTTAATATTTAGATGGGATCTTACAGGCCAGGGGCAACAGCAGTAGGTAACTTGGCTTCTATGGCTAGCACTTATGCATACTTCCAGGGAGCCAAAGACTCCGTAGTTAAGGAGTATATGAATATATCTTAGGGAGGCTATAGAGGGTTTCCTTTAATGGTTCAAGGTAAATGGCTATGAGCCATACATACCCATTTATTGTGCGGGCCAAGCCCAAAAAAGCCCAAGGACCCATCCCAGGATCCAAGACCAGCCAGCAAGCATCATCAAACACGATATAAACATCCAGAATCCGCTGTGAAGGTGCAGGAAGTCCTGGGGCGGATGCCCTTACCGCCAGGCCGACTTGGGGGGTTCCAATGATGATGGTCCGGAGGTTTAAGGGTGTTTCGTAAAGCTTGTGTTGCAGGGTTCTGTGAGTGTGCTGGAATGAGAGTAAGGACTAGGGTGTCGGCTTTTCAGTTTGGGGTGTTGCAAGCAGGCTTTGGGGTTTTTGGCCGAGGGTTTTGGTTTTCGAGTATTGGGTTGCGGGTGTTGGGGTTTGGGGTTTAGAGTTGGAGAGGATGAAAGCCAGGTGTTTCAGTCAATTTGGGATATAGTAGCACACTTCGGTTGCAAGAGCACCTGTGCGGCCAGTAACCCCCTGAAGTCGCCCGGCCTTGTGCGCTTGCTGGGCAACCTTCCTTGAAGCAACCAAGGTAAGCGCCGAACACATGACTCGGACGGAAATAGCAGCCTCGCCTGATTGCCGTAATAAGCCCTAACCAGATGCACGCCTGGACCCAAACTCTTAAGCTACCAGCTCCAACCCTCAAAGCCTTAGCACTGAACCCCTAATCTCTACCGCACTGAACGCTAAACTCACACATCCCCTAAGCAACCCTCTTACCAAACCCCTTGAATGCAAAGGCTTTTCGGCCGCCCAGCTCTTCTTCCGATCGACTGAACTGCCGCGGCTCTTTGGCCTCACCTCCTCAACAGGTGCAAAGGCTCACCGAAACGGCAGCCTAGGCATAGGAGCTGTTTGCGTACATCAAGCGGTGTCTAGTCAGAGTTTTAGACTAGAGCTTGAATCCTTTCCCGGCTTTGCAAGGGATGTATGGGCCTTTAGGATTTAGCAGGTGAGGGCTGGTAAGGTTTAGAGACACTTTTGGGGTTCAGGATTTGGAGGTTTCGGGTTTTTCAGGTTTTGGGATTGCGCGGGTTTAGGGCCGGCTGCGGAGGTTATCCAGCACCAGCAGCACAATACCTTTAACCAGGCAAGGAGTGGTCGTAGGGTCGCGCGTTTATGTTTTCCAGCTTCGAGGCGCCCAAGTACCTAATGTAGTTGGACTTTTGGGGAAATTCAGGCGTGGGGTTCAGCGGAGGAAGTTTTGGAGAAAGGCATTCTTGTGTGAAGGCTACTGGAAGAGAGACTCGTTCGATTTTATGACGGTTTTCGGGCTTCGGATGAAAGACGTTGAGTTTCGGGTTTTATGTTCAGGTTCGGAATTTAAACTTCTGGGCAGGGCTAGGACTCCCCCGGCACGCCAGGGGACTCCCATGGGCGGCGGCGGCGCACGAACTGATGACAAGGCGAGGTGTACGCTAAAAGGCGAGAAACCTTGTAAGGCCTGAGTCCTACATCCTGCGCCTGAACACATCGCTCCAGTTTCTTTTCGTTTCGAATGTCGATTTTAGTCTTGGGGACACGAGCTAGGGTCCGTTCAGGGCCCCATATTTGACGGTCACTCGGAAGTCCAAGTACTTAATCATCATACACTGCACAGCGTGCTATCTGACAAGTTCTTGCTACAATCCTCAATCCCAGAACCCGATTGCTGGGCATTGACCCTGAGGGCAAGAAGTAGTTCTTGTATGGAGCTATGACTCTATAAGTGCCGTAATGAAGGGTTTATAATCCCTTCCCCCTATCTTTAAACGGCCCCTCCAAGAACAAGAACTCGAAAAGTGTTTTTATTATTAGGTGATCTTTTGATCTCTACCGCCACTTTTGAGGGGTCGTCTCTTGCTCCTGCTCTGGCTCTTGCTCCCACGCTGCCTTTTGTTCCCGCTTCTGCTGCGTCTCTTGCGCCTGCTACTGCTCTTGCTGTTGCTCCCGCTTTTGCTCCTGCTCTTGCTCTTACTCCCGCTCTTGCTTTTGCTTTGCTCTTGCTGCTGCTTTTGCTGGTGCTCCCGCTTTTGCTCTTGCTCTTGCTGTGCTATATAAGGGTATTTGGAGCCTCGAAACCCTCCCCCCTAATTCAGAATAGGCTTGAAAAGGCAGAGAACATTTTGGGGGGATTCGCCCCAATGTGTGTTTTGTAAAATTGGGCGGGGGTGTTTAATAAAATGGGGAAGGGATTAATGGCTGCAGTACTCATGGCCAAGTGGATTGGGTCAACGCCCAGGTGGTGCGTTCCTAGCAAGATGAGACTTCTGCTCGATTTGCCTACAGGCATGGTAATACCTTTCGCGACGTACACCCCGAACTTTGTTTCCGCCTGAATTTACATCTTGTGCTTCTAGTGGAGAGCACTGATAGGTTTTGCTTCCAGGTGTTGCTGCTTTGTGTTTTCTTGATGGTTTTTGAACCTGTTCTACATCGAGTCGTGTACGACAGGGCCCGCAAGCCTCAAGGCTGAAGGCGAAGCGTCCAGCAAGCGCTGTTTTAACCGTCGCCTGCTTGGCAGAGGGCGCTTGCAAGTCCTAATTATACAAAGCGGATTGTGTGTGACATTGAGGGTTCATGGGTTGGGTTGAAGGAGGATTTCTGACGCCTCCCTAGCCCTCAACCCCTCAACCCCGCCGCGGCATCTCGAAGCACGAAGACCGTGAACAGCTGAATTCCGGTCATGGATAAGTCTCCAGGGTCGTATCATCGTAGCCCCACAGTTCCCGTTCCTTTCAACAGATGGGGCTACCTAGCCGTTCTTCTCTATAGTAGTAGAGGATTTGTTCGAACTCTAGGCTGAAAAGGAGAAATTTCAGCTCCGGAGTTTCCCTGCACCCATTTACAGGAACCCTATATTTCGACTGTCGCATAATACTACCAAGGAGCCTGTCTTCCGCTGCTTTCTTCGCCGAGAGTGCACCTTTCACCGGCAGGATCAGGCTGCCGACATCCTGGCACGTGAAGCTGTGGGCTTCTGGGCTGCCCGCCAGTCCCAGGCACCCGGGGTTCTGAAACCTTCAGACTTGCAATATGTGAGTTTTGGATCACATGTATGATATAGGCTATAGGGACTATGCGTGGATAGTGTTCCTCACGATCCAGACACTAGGGTTTCAGGCGTTTGGGGGTTTGGGTTTGTTGTGATTTTATGTAGGCTTTGAGCTACCCACTGGTTTCAACTGGGGGCTTAAGGGCGTAATTAGAGTACTCCGGTAGTGAGAGGTCGGTTGCAACTGCAGGTGTGAACTACTTTCCACAAGTAGAAACAGTTGCTCGGAGCTACAATAGTGAATATCAAAGAGAGTAGGTCTTCCTTTGACATGCCTTGCAGGTTTGTCTGTGTTTGTTGCAGTGAACTATGGCTACTATGGTCGTTGTCACCTATCAAGATCCCCGCAAGAGTGGCTGAAGCTTCATCCCCTCATAATGGGTTGCTCTAGTTACTCCAGTTTGCCCGCCTTTGTCAGAAGTTGTCCGAAAAAGCCACCACAATGCCAGTGAACACCATACCGAAACACAACACGAAAATCAAGGCACCAAAATCAATCAGGCCCTCTGGGCGACCCTTAAACCAGGACATTTTTTGGGTTTGTCAGGACTTATCCTGGTCCGGGGCTGCCCTCTGCGGCATCGGTGCGGCCTTGGACTACACGGCCGGGGTGAGTGCTAGGACGGAAGAGGTGTCTAACAGGTTCATTTTTCCATGCAGGTTGTCGTTTTTTGAGGTGCAATGCCCTTCCAAGACGGGCTTGCACGCATAGCAAAGCACCTCGACAACAGTGACAGACAAGCACACCCAAGCCCGTGTAGAGGCTCAGGATACATGGGATCTATCTGTCCATCCTTCTACCCACTATATTTACCTATACAGATGGGCACTAAACAGATATGCCTGCGCATCTGCATCTATTCTCTTATCTTACCGGCTAGACTATATCTGTTCTCTTTCTCTATACGTCTCTCACGTCTGTAGTTGTCGTACCGGTCTCTTGCCGGAGATCATTCTCTCAACCTGTGTGCTAAGACACAACACAAGGATCGGTGATACTCTGTCGGACGAAGTTCGCATCCGAAAGCCCCAAAACCTACATATTTGCAGGTGAACCGCGGCTTCGTGGTTGCCCTGCTCATAGGCGCGCGCTGTGAGAGAAAGTGCCCGGCAGGAGTTGCATCATGCTGACGCTTGGGGCCCGTTGGCTCGGGCTTGCGAGACACCGTGAGCCAAGGATATACCCTGAGTTCAGCGAACTGCAACAAATCACCTGCAAGCGACTTTGTGCCCTATAAACCTCAAACCCCCAAACCCCTTCGGGCTCTTCGGGCTTTTCGGGCTTCCTTCTGCGTCCAAGTTCATGAGGTGTCTAGGAAGGTCAAGCTTAAGGTTTAGGGTTTGGGGCGTAGGTAGGCGCTTGTTTCCCGAGCCTGGCGGCAGGTTACGAGGGCCTCTCTGCTGAAGCAGCTTGGCTCCATCGGCATACTGGGTTCTAAGGTGGGCTCCATCATTGAACCCAGCAGTCTGAACAATTATGACAATGATGCTGATAAACCTTGAGCTTTGCGTCTGATTTCGCTGGCCCCTCGCAAAAAGTTGTTCAAAAATCGAGTCAGGGAAGTGGAAGATGTCGGGTTTGCGGGGGGGGGGGTACAGAGATGCTGGGGTCAGGATGTGACTTTCGATGTTCATTTTTGTGGGTCTTGAGACTAGGGGTTCATGATGTTGATCCTCGGCTTCCATTATTCCATGGTTCCATGAGCCGACTAAGCCGCAAAGGGGTCCCAAGCCTTAGCAAAACTCTGGCCCCAGGCCAGAAACAGCCAGCCCATCAAAGCGAGCTCAACGCCTTAAACCCTTAAATCCCTCCGCAGCCATCACCAGAATCCCTCGAAACCCCCAAGACAAGAGCCTTCCAGGCCTCTCACGGGCTGGCAGAGAGACGTGAGGAGCTGGCCGGGCTGCGTAAGCGCCAGGCACCGGGCGGGTCCTTGAGGGCTTGTGGTTTCAAGGGTGTATAAGGTTTTAGGCTTCAAGCGTTTGTTGTGTTTGCTGGATCCTTGAGGGGTTTGGGCTTTAGGGCTTAGGGTTTGGCTTGCTTGGGGTTCTTCCTGTCTTCCGGAACCTCAGCGCTACAGTCCACACCCCATCCCAGACTCAAACCATTTCGTGCTGGGCGCCAGCCCGCCCCATGTGGGCCTTCCTCTGCAGACGAACATACGAGTTGGCAAGGGGCCTTGACTACAAAACGACAGATGCAATGTACCCCAAACACAAGAACACCATGTGGAGCAAAATGGCCGCCGATGCGCAAAGTCCGTCTGCAAGCTCAGCCAACAAGATAGAGCATTCATGCCACCGACTAAAACAGTAAACCGCGACCAATACACTAAACGGTCGCAAACTGTCGAGACCTAGCTCCCCAAAACAATCCGAAATCCCAAAGTGCGTCGATGACCACAGACCCTGAACCCAAAAGGCCGGTCACGCCAAAGAACCGAGAACCTCATTTGAAGAACAGCAAAATCCTCCCTGACAAGGCTGCTGCTGCCGAAGCTGCAGCGCAGGCTGCTCCGGCGCCGAGCTTCGGTGCCTCGGTTTTAAGGGACTTAAGTGAAGTGAATTGAAATGCATAGCATTAATTACTATAGTATAGTATGGTATACCCAGCAACCCCTGCCTCTACATGAGATGAGGTCAAAAATATCGTAGATTGGTTGACGATACTCTAAATGCAACAATATTGCCAAGTT